GAGACCACAACGGGTATTGGCACTCGTACCGGCGGGATCATGCCTCGTGAGGGTGGAACTGTACCCCGTGGGGGTACTACTCGTCCTCGTCCTCGTGGTTGTGTGATAGAGCCCGCCGGGGATGAACGACCACGTGTAGTCGAGCGAACGTTGTGTGATGCGGCACGCACTGTCGTAGCCCGCATTGACGCTATTGAGGGGTTGTGGCCGCGATTGCTGATGGCGGAGGTCGCCTGAGTGATGCTCCGTTTGTGAGCCCGTTTTGTCGATTCGGGGACCCAGTCACCGCCTACGATCGGGTAGAGTCTCTGGCACGTGTGTTCGCAGTTGCACCAGAACAAGCCGCGATTTCGAAGGTCGTCCTGGGTGAACGTGTGAGCAAAGGCAATTGATGAGACGAGTGAGTATGAGACTTACCGAGCTCGATTCCATGGTCGATTCAAGGTGGATGGGGAGTAGAAACGAAGAGAATAGAACAGAGGGAATGAGGGGGAGGAGATGGGGAGGAAGGAAAGAAAGAAACAGCGCTCGTTGAGCGACGCCGAACACTTAAGTCTCATTGCAGGCTCTATGCAAGAGGCCCGAGCGCTCCGAGTCGGGCGAGGTGGTGGCTTGGGCTATACTCACCTGTGCCCAAACCACCCATTCAAGCTCTTAGTGTAGCCCGACTGTTGCCCGATGAGAGCAAGATGGCATTGGCGTGTAAACAAGATACACGAGGTGGGAAGCGCGTGAGCTACTCGAGGCGTAGAGAAGACCAGAAAGAGATGGTGGTTCTGATCGCAAAGAAGCTGGCTACTCGAAGCCGGCGGCTAGATGCGGGGAACCGAGCTACAATAATCGTGAGAACCACAAGCTACAATAAGCGTGTGAGTGGATTAAGCTGGCTGACTGTAGGCTCGATACTCACGGTGAGACCAGACACGGGCGAAACGCAGTGATTATCCTGGCAACGTGAGAGGTGAGCGATTGCAAGAACAACAATGAACAATACGCACCTCTTCACCTCAGCATCGCGAGCGCGGTCAAGCGTCAAGCCAGGCATTGGGTTCTTCCGGACACGGGATAACGCAAGCCTGCGGAGGTTGCCGAAGGAACTGTCCATGTAGTCCCAGTATTCCCTCATCGTCCATTGGGTCGGGGTGACCTGACCGTCAGCGGCAGTGACCGGGAAAAAGCCGGATGGTGGGACCCGTGGAGTCTCAATGGGCGTGGAGACATGGACATCAGATGCAGAGATGTTGGTGAAGAAGGAATCGTCGCCGTTAACTGCACCGATGGAGTCATTGCCGACGGTGTCGTTGCCGGTGTCATCATCAGGCAAGTCCTCGGGTTCTTCGCCACCGTTCACCTGGTACGGGTAATCGTAGCTGTCCTGGGGCTGGGTTTCCGGAAGGAAGTCCCTATCATCCCCGTTCACTGGCCCGATGGGCTCGTCGGCATCCGTGGGACCAGACACAGGAGGCGCGAGATCCTCAGGGGGGAGGTGACCATCCTCGTCAAGGCCTTGGCCAAGCCCCGAGAGCTGACCATCGCCGCCGGCATCAGCCACGTCGGCACGAACGTCAATGCCAAGCTTATGGCTAATGACGGAGTAGAGATCAGGGTGCAGGAAGGGGGCAATCTGGGCACTGTACAACTGGTCCAAGGAAACTGTCCGGGGCTTGTCGAAGTGACCGATACCAATGAGGAATTGCCGAGTGAAGAAGCGCTAGCGACGGTGGAGTGAGAACGAGTATGCTCAAGAAATACGACATAACTCACAACCGTGGCCCACTTTCGCCAGTGAGAGGAGTCCGTGGGCATGCGCTGCGCGGATGCCGCGAGTCGACTGCACAACTCGATGATGCTCCAGTCTTTGAGGATGGAGTCGATGACCTTGAATGCATAAGTATTTGAGTACGGGCCTTGCACAGCTGGATACGTACAAGGTTTTTGATGGAACCTCGAACCGATCCGCTTGCACTTGAGATGAACCTGTAGAGACTCCGCTGTAGGTGATGGTCATTGAGGACGCTGTCGTCGACGCCGAAGACAGCAGGGTTCCGGCTAATGAATGCCTGTAGGCTAGACTCAGAGGGTGAACATTACTTCAATAAAGAAAACACATACCATTACTTCGTCGGTGAACCTGACGACAAAGGCAGTGAGACTTGAGGACACCAGGGCGGCTGTCAAGCGCACGGTGACCATGCTCTGCAGATACTTGTCAGCAATGATAGCAAGCAGAGTAAATACGTACCCGGTAGTCCTTTGACTGGAGCTTGTTGTCCCACATATGTCTTGTCTTGTCCTCGTTAGACATCGTCGCCGCTTCTTGGTGGGCTCGGATATCAATGAGCATTGGAACTATGTTGCCGAGCTTTCAGACATATGAGCACAAGTGAAATGGCTATTCTTCACAGCCACGTACCTCGACAAACTCATGAAGGACATTCTTGTCAATTTCCAAGGACGCGGCGATGGTGTCGGCCACGGACTTGAAGCGTTTGATATCCTGACCGCTGAGCTGGAGAGTGTTCACGTCGGATTCAGACTCAAAGTCGTCCCTGGTCCTGCGTATCCCAGCAGTGATGGACGGGGGAAGGTTCTCGTTGGAAGAAACACGGCGAGGCTGGCTCAACGGCATGGGTGTTGCAGCGTCAGATGGGTTACGGCGAGCCGACTGGCTGAAGGTCATGGGCAGCGAGCGACTTGCTGATCCCTGAGACACGGGCCTTGGGTGGGAAGTGTGCGCGGGCGTCGTCTGAGAGTTTGAACGATGAATACTGTTCGTTCTGGACGGAGGGCGGGAGGTCGTGTTGCTGCCTGGAGTGGTCCGTCCGGACCCGCTGGATGGGGGAGCTTGGTACTGATAACGACCCAGATACATGGTTGAACCAGAAAGAAAGGGAGGGGAAGAAAGGAAAGAGCGACAAGAGAGCAGAGACAGACGGCGCAAAAAAGAGGAAGGAATGGAAGGAATGGGAGGAGCGGGAGGAGTGGGAGGAATGAGTTTGGGAAAGAAAAGCGACGAAAGAAAAAGAAGAAAACACGCGGTTGTTAAATTTCAACACCGCTGTGGGCCGAGCGAGGCAGCCGAAATTCAACTGCGCAATGTGCCAAGACGCCGTGCACCCTGACAATGCAGCTGGCATATCGCCACCAAATGAAACGCTTAGACGTAATAAAATGGCGTCTGAGTTTGCGTGGATGGGACACGGGCCGATTGCGAATGAAAGGCAGGAGGTTGTGTCGGCAAGGATGGAGGCTGCTGTGATTGCCCAGACCACTGGGGCAGAGCCTGTGGACCTTGGTGCAGCTGGAACTGATACGATGGATGGTATTGAGGTTGAGGGATTAGCGGCTGCTGTTGAAAAGGTGGGGAGATAGGAATCTGCTGGGAGAGCTGTGCAGGATCAGCGACGTTGGACCACGAGGGGACATCATGATACGCCCCGGTGGGACTTGCTTGATTGGACAGATAACCCTGAGTGAAGGATGTGTGATCGCGACGATAGTTCCACGGCTGCGCTGTCGAGATATGCTGTGCTGTCGAGATATGGTGGGACGGAGGGCCCTGTGGGGCCACAAAACCATGAGGAGGTAACATCTATAGGGCTGCAATAAGCTAAAGTTGGATCAAAGAGCAGGGACTTACTGGGTTTTGCGATTGAAGAGGCAGGTTCTCAAACGGCTGTGTGGGCGGTTGCGTGTACGAGAATCGCAGAGATGATGGCCCAGGCATAACGAAAGAGCCACGGGTGAGCTGTGGCTGCCCGGGAACTGCAAAGGGAGGGTGCTGGATACTGGAGCGCGGGGAAAGAGGATGGGAGTCAAAAGAATGAGGAGGGTGGATGACGGGGATATCTGGTATGGCACTAGAATGCTGCGCGGCAGGCTGGCCTGCAGAGACTCGTTTCCTCTGGCGAGGCTTTGGCACCCTTCGTGGGGCCGTCGAGGGCTCGGACAGATGTAACGATGGGGAACGTGGTGCTAAGGACGCGACACTGGGTGTCGCAGACTGCTCGCGATCAATCTGTGTACCACCTGCTGCCTTTTTAGCATCGCGGGCCTTCTTCTTGACCTTGAGCTGCTCAATGGCCTCGGCACGAACTTCATCGACGTGCATGACACGTAAAGGAGTTTCGTGGAGATGAGGAGGCGTCACGTCTTGAATATACCTGTAGTTATGCAAAGAAAACCTGTTGAGCACGTACAAACCGTTTGACTCGTGCTGAATGACGAGTTTACTACGTTGTGTAGCTTCCCGTTCTTGATAGATGGTTTTGGATGATATACCGTTGCACTTGGAATCAGCGCAGTTATGCTGCAGATTGACTGCGCAGATAATATCCTTATGAAATGGCATGAGGTCAATGATACTCGCGCAAATTCAATCACACTTACCGCTGGAGTGACAACCACCTGGCGTTCAATCTCTCGAAGGCGTGGTACATGCAGCAGTGGTTGAAGACTTTCTTCGAAAACCATTAGCTGTACGGCCACATGTTCAACGGAACGTTCGTCTCCCTCAGAAATCAGAATCTCGAGGATTGTCCCGATAGAAAGCTTGCCATCATGGCGGAGGATGACATGATGTCCAATGCCCACGTTGTCGCCTTCCCGAGCGATGAGACTCGCTCCCCGATAAAAAATACTAGCCGAAAGGCTGGCGCCAACCTTTGCACATTTTGAATGACCGGCAGTTATTGAGATAAGTGGACGCTCGAGCTTTCCAGTGCCTTTTAAAACAAGTGTTAGTTGTGTTCCGACCGTCTATTAGTGACGCGTACCTGGCTCTGGCCCTCGAGATTCCAAAGTCCAGTCCATAAGCCCAAGGAGACGGGCCTGCTCGGGGTGATTTCTCAGGTATGGAACGACTGAGCTGCCTGCTCGAAGCCACCGCTTGAGTGGCTCATCGTAGAAGAAACCGCCTGTGGCAAGATGCTTGACCACATCTTGAAGAGCGAAAGCGGCACAACTGTCACGACTCGGGGCCTGTCGATTGCTGAATATGCATGAGAGACGAAATATGTGGTTAAAAGATTCGTATCTCTCTGTCGAGAAAAGAATAGCGGGCCCAAAGCGTCGGATGTAGATAGGAAGATGGATGAGAAAGTGGAACTTTGACTTGCTGATGATAATACTCGGCGCACACTTGCAGGATATGTTCAGGAAATCTTGAATGGATCGTGACAATTCAGCCTGAATTCCAAAGTCAGTGTCATATAATATACACATTGCTCATTGGATGGACTCACGATGTACTTGTCCATGTCGTGAATCTCGGTATGCCAGATGAGAACCACCAACTCTCCAAGGCGTGTCCATGCGTCCAGAACGTCGCCAGAAACCAAGTCATATATTAAAAAGGGCATCACCTGTGCGAGACTCTTGAAGTGCTTCCCGATGAGGCTGCGCCGGTGCCTGACCATGTATTCCGCGTCAACATTGGCAGTGTTGAGTCCCATAGTATCGACCGAGTCCAGCCGTGTCTGGAAAGCGCTGAGGAGTTTTTTTTCATCCAGCGTAGCTACCGTTTGCGCCCACAGATACTTGACTACGCCGAGCAAGACCGTATGGAGGACCTCAGTCGGTGTATCCAAATGAATATTAACACCTTATTATACACGAGTAGTTCTTAGCGATTGTAGTCAAAACATATGGTCATCACTCACCGTCCATTCCAAGCAGAGGATTAATGACTTCCTCCGCGGTCTGGCCTCGAAGAAGCTCCTCTAGCTCTCCCTCGAGTTTTTGTCGAATGTCACTTTCCGAATGTAGTCCACCGGCAGCCGAAGTTCTTGCTCGGAGCTTCTTACCCATCTCGACGACTGCGTTCAAGATTGGTGCTGTTGTCGTGTCGCGAATGCCGGTATCCTGAAGCTTTCGCGAGAGCTTGGATGCGGCACCAGGCTCGATCGCAATTCTGAACTGCTCGAGGACCTCCTCGCGTGTCTCTTCAGGTTTTCGCTCGTTGCCGCTCTGGCATCAAGCATAAGTTCGCGCGAGGGGCACTGTCACAGGATGGGACAAACTCACCGAAAACATTGAGTTGTAACCGTCGTGACTTTCCTTGAATGCTTTGTTACCACCAGCGTGGCATGTCCTGCAGAAATAGTTACAAAGCACTCCGCCCTGACTACATTCCTCGGCCTGCATTGGATTATCGCCTGCAAAAAGGAGTGCATACGGCTCAAGTATGACGTCCTTGTCGTACTTGCAATCCCATGCTCGGACACCAGATGCCGCAGCCTCACTTGAAGTACTGTGAGCACAATGACTCACTGACGATTGTCTGACTCACCTGATGGAATTCCTCATCGCACGCATCAGCTCCATGGGTGCGGCGTTTGGAGAAGACGAGACAAATCGGACGCAGAACTCCTTCTCAAGCATCTGCCGAGGTAAGCTTGCATTTGACATATAGATTGCGTGGTGTTTATTCCACTGTTTCGAGATGTTGCCCGACACGTCGTCCATGAAGACAATGAGCGGGACTGAATAGACCATTTTACCGCCGTATTTGATGCGAGAGGGGTGCTGCTCGAGTGTGGCTCGCAAGCGTGATTCCTCTGCAAGCAAATGAGTGTGTAATGACGCATCATAAACACGTACACGTACCTGTAAGTCCAGTCTTAGTCTTGCCTGAGCGTTCTAACTCGGGCAAAGAGTATGCAAAAGATGAAATAGGGACAATGATGGGCTCAGACGCCACGTCGAAACCCAGCTTGTTCAATCAAATTAGAAACCTCCGCCAGTATTAAGAGACGAATTAGACTCACAGCCGTGTATTGAACTGGAAGGCCGAGAGCTAAAAGTTTCCGTTCGGGCTCACCATCATCAGGTGCGGGAGACCCATAAAAAAATCTAGTCGGGATGAAGTAGTTGCCGCTTGTCAGCTGTAGGAGCTCATTGACAAAATATACTGATGTGTTCCATTGGACAGCGGGAGGAGACGGGCGCTCAGCGAGCATCTTCGTGGCATGAAAAACCTCGGACACGCATTCAGGTTTCTCTTCTGGGTAATCCTGCATAGCATGACGAGTCAAGGGATTGAGTAGTCCTAACTAAGTGTGAACAGCGTCGACAAATAGTACCAGAATACCACTTACCATGGCGATTGCTCTTGAGATGCTGTTGATATAGAGAATATCGCCTGCGGATGTGACTTTCCTTTCGGTGGGATCGCCGACCATCTCCTTGATCCGTTGGTGACTTTTTCGAAGGGAATAGAGCGAGGGAACGTTCAGAGCACCAAGCTCCTTGGCCCAGTTCAATACGGCGGTCTTCTGCGCCGTGGAGTAAGGTACTCGAGGCGAGCTGAACAGTACGGACGTGATGAAATGCTAGAGTCCTTTAGTACAAGTATGAAAGCGCGTGTATGGGGATGAACATACTTCTTTGGATGGCCATGGGAACCATGGATTGTCTGGCGACGTCTGAGGAATACCTTCGCTCTCCTGAGTGCGAAGGTTATCTGCAAATATAGTAAGACGATGCTCATGGCAAGTCAGAGCACTGGTGCGTACCGGGCATCTGAATACCAAAGTCTTGTTCCACATACATCCCGTCGAGATCGTCGTCAACTGCGACTCTTGATGCGTCCTGAAAAGCGAGATCTTGGCGTAGCTTGTCCCAGAGCAGACCGTCGGTATCGAGCTGATTATCGGTGTAGTAGTGAGAGATATTGTCGGCAAGTTTGAAAAGTGGAGCCCCCTCAGGTTCCGGTGGCTCGTTCGTGTCTACATTGCCATGCTCGTCGTGGACACCGCGGACAGACTCACCGGGTGGACCGGTGTCCATTGGCTCAGGGTACTGGTGGACGTCGTCCACATCCATAGGTTCGGTATCCGTGTAATGAACACTGGCAGAATTCCGGCCGATCGTTGAGGTACTCGCAACGTGAGGTTGCAAGTCCAGAGGCAGTGAAGTCGAGGATTTCTGGCGAAGAGCAGCAATGTGTTTCTTGGAGTTGACATGCCTGCTGATACTATGTCTTGCTTGAAGATCTTGTCGGCAGATGTTGCAGTAGGCCTGACGATGACGTCCGGCTGACGGCCGCTCCGTTATGACTTCACAAGGGATAAGCTACACATGTATGACAACTGGGATATCACAATCTTACTGATGTTGTCGATTAACCGAGCGTCCTGCCTTGCCCTGCTCATCTGTGGAACTGTTGAAGGGAACAAAGAGAGTGAACGGGGCGTCTGGAATAACAGCGATATATTCAAGTTACGGACTTAGAGACTCGGAGAGGACGAGGCTGGCATATGCACGAGGCGTGAGCAAGGCAAGTCACGTGAGCTTTGCCTTGTTGCGCGCCGCCGTCTGTTCGTCTTTCTCTTTCACCGCTCTCGTCGCTGAAGGCCCCAGATGGAACTCAGCTCACCTATCAACGCCATCATTTATCCCGATATCTCTGTCAACGGCACCGGGAGTGTCACCATCTGTCCTTTTGAGATCTCCGTGGCGGTGATAGGCGACATTCCCCCTCACCTTGTTCAACAGAAAGTTGTGAGTGTTTCTCCGACGCCATGGACCTGACACGTCACTGAATCTTCATGACAATTAGCCCGTGTCCATTTCAGTCTCCGTTTCTCGAGAGCTCCAGCCATTTACAAACCTGTTCGTGCGGGCTCGCCCAGTCGGGGATGAAGAGGGGGAAGAGCATAGTCCGTCCATGTCACCGGTGAGAATTTGTTGTCTTTCTGCTGTATACTCTCGTTGACCGTGTATCAGCGGTCTCTCCCCCGACCAGAGCTTGACTCACCAGTCGACGCCTACAACCACAGCTCATACTACGATCAAGACATCCCATTTGTACCTCTCCCCTCAGCATTTGACCGCTACAACCCAGCCCACTGGGCTCGACTCTCCGAAAACATCAGTGACTACGTCGTTTCCCTCCAACCTGACAGCGGTATGAGGTCCTGGGGCACCAACATGTATTGGGTTTCGTGGGTTGGGGCGAACGTCAACTTCCCGTTCGGAGAATGGTCAAAGTGGGATGGCGAGATTCCGCTCGAGGGTTCCTTCATTGAGTCATGGCTCGCAGACGCATATGCTCGTGGGTCGAGTCCTGTCGCAGAGGATGCGCTTGACGTTATTTGGTCTGAATTTTTGAGGTATACTTCGCTCTTTGCCAATGGCCCGATCATTTCTACGCTTTTCTGATGACTTATGCTCTTCCTGATGTATACCAAAACCTCATGTACATAAAAGAACGTGTGTAAACCGTTGTCTACGTCTGATAGAATTTGTGTACGTGCTTGCCCAAGAGTGTTTGCGCACTTGAAAAGTCGTTTGCTGTGGTCCGGCACACTTGGGCCTTAACATATATCCCAGCGATATTTGATGCCCACACATGCTGGCGAATAGACCCGAATATTCTCATGATCTGGACCACACCACGTTGCAATATGACATGGTCATATGGAGCCGTCATGACCATCCGATGCATCGACAATGTTACCATTGCATTTCGTCCTCGTCCCTGCGGCAAATCGCTGCCACTTCACGACGAAGTTCACCGAATGTGACAAATGCATTCTTGGCGGATATGCCGATCATGCTCGTCCCACGATACTAAATATGGCTGTCTCCGCAAGCTCGGCACGATGTGTCACCGAAGCGAATCTGGATATGGTAATTATATTCGGTAGCAATGCTAGTTTTCGTTTTCGGCTCGCTTGGCCGTGTA